CATCATCATCATATTACCATTGCATCCACGGATTTGCGCCTAAAAATAGTGTTATTTAGAAGGGAACCTTTTATCATGTGTACACACACACACACACACACACACACACACACACACACACACACACACACACACACACACATGCACACACACACACGCACACGCACACACACAGACACGTACGCACGCACACACACTTTCTCACACACACGCTCATGCTCACAAATTGCAAACATGTGCATAATTAAATCAAAATACATTGTAAAAATAAGAAATGGTTTAAAAATTGAGAGAACTTTAAAACTTTGAAAAAAAATGGAATGATAAAAAATAGATAGAGAGAGAGAGAGAGAGAGAGAGAGAGAGAGAGAGAGAGAGAGAGAGAAAGAGAAAGAGAAAGAGAGAGAAAAAAGAAAAAGAATAGAGTGAACGAGTGAACTCCAATATTGACTGACGTCACACGATGACGTAACGTTTATCATATCGTATGTACCACTTCGTTCGTTTGTTTTTTTATTTGTGTGCGTGCGTTTATGCGTGTACGTGTATGTGTGTGTGTGTATGTGTGAATACGAGTCTCTTTATGTGTCGTCTTTCTTTCTTTCTCTCTCTTTCTTTCTCTCTCTCTCTCTCTCTCTCTCTCTCTCTCTCTCTCTCTCTCTATTTTACTTTTTCACATTTACACAAATGATACTTTGAACGGTTAGTTAGCCGTGTAAAAAAATTAAGGAGTATCATTATGATTATTATATTACTGATGTTGTGAACATTGTTGTTGTTGTGTTGTTGTTGTAGTTGTTGTTATTGTTGTTGTTGTTGTTAGTGTGATTATTATTTTCTTAAAAAAAAAAATAAAAATAAAGCGCTCATTAATTTAAAAGTAGCTTAACAGGAAGTGCTTACGTCAATCTGGGAGTTTCCAAAGAAAAGAAATATTTTTAATTTTTTGTTACTACTACTACTACTACTACTACTACTACTACTACTACTACTACTACTACTACTACAACTATAACTAATAATAATAATAATAAGAATAATAAAAAATAATAATAATAAAAATAACAGTAAAAGCAATTTTATATAGGGAGCTTTTCGGTTCATCAAAACATAAATTAATGTACTCGGTTTTGTAATTAACAATAATAATAACAATAATAATTATAATAATAATCATAATAATAATCATAATAATAATCATAATAATAATAATAACGGTGATGATGATAATGACTATAATGACGATGATGAAGGTCAAACGATGTTGAAATTTAGGCGCTAAAATTTTGCATACATTCAGGCGTTTATTTGTGTACCTACACAATGTATGTATGTATGTATGTATGTATGTATGTATGTATGTATGTATGTATGTATGTATGTTTGTTTGTTTGTATGTACGTATGCGCGCGTGTAAGATTTCCATTCATTACGTAATTTCGCTTTATATGCGTTTAACGATGTTGTTGATGTATTAATACTATTGTTGTTGTTGTTGATGTTGTTGATGTTGTTAGTTGTTGTTGTAGTTATTACTACTGCTGCTTCTGTTATTTTCTGTCTTCTTTTTCTTTGTCACTGTTGTCTCTCTCTCTCTCTTTCTCTCTCTTTCTCTCTCTTTCTCTCTCTTTCTCTCTCTCTCTCTCTTTTTCTCCCTCTGGTGTATTGTGTTACCATTTTAGTGAAACAATTTACTCAGTAAGATTGAGGTACACATGATGGTGATGGTGATAATGACGACGACGATGATGTTGTTGATGTTGAGGATGGTAATGATATAATTGGTATGATAGTGTAACATTTTATTGTACATACTTACGTACACACATACATGCACACATACATATATAATACAACAACCTTTTAATATATGCCATAAACATGTTTTTATTGATCACACCATCTTCAATGAAAATTGTCTAATTGAATTCTTTTAAAGAATTAAATTAATTAATATTGTATGTAGGTATGTTATGTATGTATATTTGCATGTATGTTTGTATATATGTTTGTTTGTTAGTTATTATGTATGTATGTATGGATGGATGTTTGTATGTAGGTATGTACGCATGTTTGCATGTGTGTTTGTATGTATGTATGTATGTATGTCTGTTTGTTTGTATGTATGTATGTATTAATATGTATGTCTGTTTGTTTGTATGTATGTATATATGTCTGGCTGTTTGTATGTAGGTATGCATGTATGTTTGTCTGTTTGTATGTTTGTGAATTGAAATTTTCCACATCTTCAATCCTTTTTTTTACAATTTTAAAAATTCGCGTGACGAATTAATGGCGCGATAAAATGAATTAAAGTGTTTTTCGTTTTTATTATTTTATTATTATTATTCTTATTTTTATTATTATGTTGTTGTTGTTGTAGTTTTTTTATTTTTATTATTATAAATTGTTATTGATTTTGTTGTGGCTTCTTATGTAACGAATTATTTTTCTCTATGTTTTAATTCTTTTAGGTATTTTTGGTTACATATTTCATTAAAGACATAAAAGAGAAGGCATTTTATGTGTCATTCTTTCATTCATTCTATCATAAATTCATGCATTCCTTCATTCGTTCATCCATCCATCCATCCATCCACCCATCTATTCAATGATATCTTTTCATCAAACATCATCCAACTGTTCATCCATAAATAAATTGGATGACCCGAATACATAACTTAACCCCGGTGACCTATTTACATAAATCATCATCATCAAATGTGACCTTTGACCTTTATGTAACGGACACACGTGCGGGATTCTGTTTCCTTGTCTCTTAGTTTATGTCATTTTTCGTTCATCAATACTCTCTCATTCATTAACAAAGCTGAAAATAATTAACATAAATCAACCTAATTAACTTGGTTCGACCTAATTAACATATTATGACTTATTTGCATGTGTCAAGGTCGCAAATGAACATAGCAGACGCCAGAAAAACACCGCCCTCCTCTCGCGGCTCCCTCTTCACGAACTTCGAAGATGTCCAAGTTTGTATATCAATTTGTTGTTTTTGTATCATAGTATTTTTTTGCGTTATTTTTATGTTTGTTGCTGTATTCTTTGTATAACATTTGTATTGTTTTTTTTTATTTTGTGTATTAGTTTGTATAGTTTGCAATACAAAATAATAATTTTTCTCTTGCCCGATCAGCTGACTGACGAGGAGAGGGTCTATCTAAACGCCGCAGCACTCGGAGACGCGCCGATAGTCCGTCACTCACTTGAAGAAAACGACGAAAATGACGTCACGGACGACGATCACGAGGGCGGCGGGACCGGAAGCAACTCCCAACAACAGCAACAACAAACCGGCCAACAACAACAACAACAACAGTTAGACAAAGAATCAGAAAAATCCTCAAAAAAACGCCCAAAAACGCCAAGGTTGAACGTGAACTGTCTGGACTACATGGGCAGAAGCGCGCTGCATCTAGCGGTCGATAGCGATAGCATGGAGACCGTGGAATTACTGTTGGATAGAATTGACTTTGATTGCATAGAGGAGGCCCTGTTGCATGCTATCAGCAAGGGGGCCACTAAAACAGTCAGGGTCATCATCGAGCACCCCAACTATATTGCAGGTAGTATTATTATAGTATTAGGTACGATGTCGCGAGCGGTTTGCATTAACGAGTTATTATGTTATTTATTTAATAATTTTGACAAAATTGACGATGCGGAATTCATTTACGAAATAATGGATTTCTATAATTGTGAAGATATTAGAATAGCAAAAAAAATACTTACCAGTGATCTGGAGGCATTAAATCTAGAAAAAAATGATAAAATAAAGCCAAACAGTTCTGGAAATTCTAAAAAGGACAAGGTTAGTGATTTAATACTAACAATAAAAACTATTCTGAGCAACAAAATTGAGAGCAAATTGCCTCAGTATGCTGCTCTCAACCTTTTTAAAATTCCAAGCTCAAAAGAAGCTAAATTTGAGTCAATTCTTGACGAAAAGTTAAAAAAATTAGAAGAACTATTTATTGAAGAAAGAAACATCTTCCGAGAAATAGTAAATAATGCGGCTATTAACAATAGCCCAAAGTAGAAAGAAAGCAGCAATCTGATTGCAAGACCTAATCAAGCAAGCAATCTGACTGGTCAGAGATTGTAAAACGTAAAATTAAAAAGAGCTCAAATGTTCAACACGTGGCGAATGTTCCACAAGTGGCGAATGTTCAACACGTGGCGAACATCAACATGTTGAAAACAAAGAAAAAAACACACAACACTAACATAGCAAATATGAAAACAGTTATAGGCGCCCAAACTGATAAACAAACAAATTTGAAAGCGATGAAACCTTCGCCAAAAAGAAAAGTTTTTTACGTTGGTCGATTGGACCAACAATGCACTGCAAAAGAGTTAAGCGAACACATAAATGGATTGAAAATTGAGGTGCTTGGATGCTCAGCAATCAAAAACTCAATTTTTAATCGCCGCTCAAAGCAAGCTACAACATCGATCAACACACGAAACACGAACTCTGACAAAATCGATGTTCAACAGACAAGCGCTGCATTCAGAGTTTGTATTTATGAAACAGACTCAGCTGAGTTCATGAATGCAGAAAACTGGCCAGACCAAATCATCGTCCGCGAATGGTGTTTCAATGATCCGTCGGCAAATGTTGTCAATGACCTGTCGGCAAATGTTGTTTCAACTAAAAAAAGCAATGAATAAAAACTTCATAGAAGAGAATCTCGAAGAATCAAAATATTACACTGTAAAAGAATTATCTAACATAATAAAATTGAAGAATAAAATGAAAAACAATCAACTACCAATCATTCATCTGAATGCTCGAAGTTTGTTTCATAAATTATTAAATCTAGAAATCTTCTTAAAACAATTCGACGACTTTTTCAAAATTATAGTAATATCAGAAACGTGGTTGAACAATGAAACAGTTGATTTAATTAAGTTAAATAATTACAATTTTGTATATAAAAATAGAAAAAGCAAACGAGGCGGAGGTGTTGGTGTGTTCATAAAGCATGACATCAAATATGTTGTAAATGATAACAGTGCATTTGATGATGAAAATGTCGACGTTCTCTGTGTGGACATTGAATCGGGGCATGCTTCATCTAGGGGTGCGCTAAAAGTTATCGCGATATACCGCCCACCCAATTATAAATTTGAGCCTTTTTTAAATAAAATCAATTTGATTTTACACACCATCAAACCCGCCGACAAAACTGTTATAGTGGGCGACTTTAATGTTAATTTATTGGACAATGATTCAAATGATTCTAAAGACTTCCAAAATTTACTATTTTCATTTTGTTTCTCGCCTTTAATTAATTTACCAACTACTAATTTACTAATTTCCACAATGCTTCAAAACATCCAGAGTAGTTCCAATTCACAAAAAGGGGAGCAAATTAGAGACAAGTAATTATCGACCAATATCTCTACTTTCTCCACTTTCCAAAGTACTAGAAAAAATAATTTTTGTCAGAGTCATGATAATCAATATGGCTACAGAGCACAGCATTCAACTAAGCAAGCTGTGCTGCAATTAGCACAAAATGTTATGAATAATTTTAACGAAAAGATACTAACTGTAGGTGTATTCATAGACCTCTCAAAGGCCTTTGACGTCATCAACCACGATATACTGATTAAAAAATTAAATTCACATGGAATAAGAGGAAAAGTAAGTGCATGGTTCAAAAGTTATTTAGAGAACAGAGACCAGTATGTGGCAATAAAAAGTCACTCCTCAACAAAACTTAACGTAAGATCAGGCGTGCCACAAGGATCAATTTTAGGTCCTCTTCTATTCATAATCTTCATGAACGATTTTCAACATGCAACTGATGCAAATCACCTTCTATATGCAGATGACACTAACATCTTCTTCCCAACTAAAGACCCATTGAAAGAAGTAGAATACATCAATAACAGTCTTCAAAATATATCAACCTGGTTTATCAAAAATAAAGTAAATTATTATAAATGTAATTACATTATTTTTGGTCCGAAAATTTTAACAAATATTATACCTAACCTAGACATAAAAATGAACAATATTTCTATTCCTCGCTCAACCAGCACAAAATTCCTTGGAAACAATCAAGGACAATCTTTCTTGGGATATTCACATAGATACTATATCTAAAAGAATATGCAAAACCCTAGGAGTTATTAGCAAAATTAAAAATAAATTAAATAAACCTACTCTAATTGACCGGTATTACTCGTTAATCTTTCCTCACCTCATCTACTGCAACGTAATTTGGGGAAACAGTCCTGACATTCATCTGAAACAGTTAACAAAATGCCAAAACCGATTCATCAGAATATTTAAAAATCTTCATCCTCATTGTCACACAAGTGAATATTATCTCGAGATGAAAATACTCAACATCAAAAACTTGTTCATCTACCACGTTGCAACATTCATTTTTAGATTTCTACGTCAGCAATTGCCGGCATTTTTTAGAAACTTTTTCACTTTTGGAACTTCCATTCAAGCAAGAACTACACGCCACACGCCACTTTTCTATGCTCCACCAGCCAGAATTAAAGTACTCTGCATGAGTTTGAAACATACCGGCCCAGGAATATGGGAGACAATTCCACAAGAAATTAAAGATTGTAACACTTTGCATCTTTTAAAAAATAAACTGAAAAATTTTTTAATTACGAAAAGTTCTGTTTTTAAAGGATAATAATGTATATGTATATATATGTATATAATTGTGTACATATTTCATTAACATTGATACATTTTCTCCTATTGACAATTTTATTTTATCATTGAGAAGCTATTTTGAGCTGCACGGTGGCCGAGCCCACAAGAATTAATTTTCTTTTTTTGGTCTCCGAATCATTCATGCTTTTTGTTTTGTTTGATTGAATAAAAGTGATTTGATTTGATTTTGATTTTGATTATTCTTTAACGGTTCATACACACCTACACACCCTCTCTCTCTTTCTCTCTCTCTCTCTCTCTCTCTCTCTCTAACACACACACACACACACACATATCCACAAATCCTTTGATACAGATATAGGCATACGCACAAGGATCGGCATGTATTTCAATTTATGTATGTTTGTATATGTGTGTATGTGTGCGTGTGTGTGTGTGTGGTGTGTGCGTGTGTATGTTTGTGTGTATGTTTGTACTCGTTTATAATATCTATCTGCATGGATTGATGTTGGTCTGCGGCTTAATTGAGATTAAATCTTTTAATCGAAGATAAGCCGGTGTGATAGAAAAAAAAATTCTCTACGAAATAAAAAACTTTGTACTGGAAGCGTTATTTTAAAAAATACCAAAAACCGGATATACAAATATACCGGAAATGAAAAAAATTCCGAAACAATTATACATAACAAACACATGAAACAAAATAGCTTAGCAAGCATAGGTATGCAAACGCGTGCAGTTTAAAACGTGAAAATTTTAATGTATGTATGTATGTATGTGTGTGCATGTGTATGTATGTATGTTTGTTTGTTTGTTTGTTTGTTTGTTTGTTTGTTTGTTTGTTTGTTTGTTTGTTTGTTTGTTTGTTTGTTTGTTTGTTTGTTTGTTTGTTTGTTTGTTTGTTTGTTTGTTTGTTTGTTTGTTTGTTTGTTTGTTTGTTTGTTTGTTCGTTTGTTTGTGTATGTATGTATAGTTTTACATTTCTTTAAATGAACAACAATGAAATTAAATTGTTTAAGCAGAACAAAGAACAAGAATAAGATAAAATAAAATAAAAACAACGACAAACAAATAAAAACAGGAAACCAAAGAATGAATAATTTGAACAAACAAACCTGATATCACTCACGAAGATAGACAAAAATACAAACAGAAAAAAGAACACTGACAAAAACAAAGAATCGAAACATAAACAAACAGACCAAAGATCAAAAAAATTTGCCGCTTCAAAACAAAGAAAAAAAAGTAGCGTTACCGAGAAAAACATTGTCTACCCTTTTGTTGTATGTTTGTTTGGGTATAGATTTTTTCTTGGAATGTTCGAATGTAAGAGAAGGGAGAATTAATTAACATTATATAAACAAGATGAATTAAAAACAATTCATTCATATATACACACACATATATATACACACACAAACACACAGACACACACACCCACACACATCAACATCTAAACACACCCACACACTCCATAAAGGTGCCGAACAGGCAAAAAGGTCCCGGAAAGATCCATTTTTCAGGACCGACGAAAAGAGCCAATTCTCACCCGATATAACCCCCTTAATTTTGGCGGCCCATTACAATAACCACGAAATTATTCAAATGTTTCTCAGTAGGAATCACTCCCTGGACAGGCCCCATCCGATTTCATGTCAGTGTGGGGACTGTGTCACCAAGCAGAACTACGACTCACTGAAAAGGTTCGTTGGCCGCTGTAAAATTCTGATGTTTGTTGCTACTACTGCTGCTGCTACTACTATTATAAATTATTTTTAATAATTATAACAAACTGATAATAATAATAATAATGAGAACTCTTTTTTTCAAAGCCAGGGTAATAAATAATTAAAACTATTAAATGGTAAAATAATGAAATGCCAATATAAAACCACTAATGCTCAATTCAAAATAAATAATAATAAAAAAAAATAATAAAAATAATAATGATATTGTTTTATTTATATAAAGTTCATAAATTACAAAACTAATAATAGAACAATTTTTTTTAATTAAGTAGGTAAGCTTCAATTAATCAGGTCAACTTTCATTATTAAACAGGTCAAGGTCGAGGTTAAATGCCTACCGCGCCCTGGCGAGCCCCGCCTACATGGCCCTATCGAGCCCCGACCCAATTATGTCGACCTTTGAGTTGAGACAGGAGATGAAAAAATTGGCCCAGGTTGAGAAAGAGTTCAAGGTCAGCTGCTCTTGCTATAGTAGTAGTAGTAGTAGTAGTAGTAGTAGTAGTAGTAGTATTAGTAGTAGTAGTAGTAGTAGTAGTAGTAGTAGTAGTAGTAGTAGTAGTAGTAGTAGTAGTAGTAGTAGTAGTAGTAGTAGTAGTAGTAGTAGTAGTAGTTGTA